CCCCAAAACCCCAAAACCCCAAAACCCCATGGGATTCAATTCAATGAAAAATGGGATTTATGAAATTAAGATTAAATAGTCAGATTTAATTCTCTATTCGTCTATTCAAGGCCGTCATAATATGATATTATGTCAATTTTATAGAGTTATATATGCTGAATAGACTGGTTATCCTGATCCTGCATGATTCTTAGGCTTTTTATCATACAGATGCTAGTCTGTAAACTCGAAGTCAAGCTGAGACAGAATAATAGCAAGTTAGTATCTTGTTATATGCTCCGCAAAAGTTTTACCAAGGCAAACTCTCTTACCTCCAAGGAAAGGGGTAAAACTTATAGGATGTCTTTTCTTTCCTGCTGGCGTTAAGAAATATTTACTTTGAGGATCGAATCTCTATGGAATATATTCATTCGGCTCTTACCATTCCTCATCATTGTAATGCAATGCATTAATGTTAATTATTACAGGATGGTCATTTAAAATCTTGTATCCTAGAAGATCGATTGGTTCCGTTAGTTCTATTCCAAATGATATTGGAGGACTATCAATTCTCAATGTCTCATTGATGCAGTTTGAAAGATATGGCATATCAGCAAAATTATCAAAGTTTAATAACCCTTTCCAATCATCTGCTGTCAAGTCTTAGAAATTATCCCTCTTAAATACTTTTTTAAATTCACCTCTGATTTAGTTCAAGTGACCTTGGGCCTTGAACTAAGTAAGATAATAAATAGTATTTGATATTAGGAGGGATGTGGCATTGGTTGAAGCAATCATAAAGCCAACACACTCATCCAATATCATCTTATCATCGTTCTTGAAGAGATCTAGTGTCAAAAGTAGAGTAACAAAGTCTCCATTGTTGACGAATTCAGGCTTTAGCATAGCCTCTCTCCTTTCATTGACTATGCCTAATAAAAACACTCTGAAGTTTGTTACATTAGTCTTTAGTTCTTTTTCCCAATCAGTCAAATAAAAATGGTCACAAAACTCGAACAATTCTCTAATTGGTCCATACAAGCGTCTTAGAGCTGTCCTAAATATTCTTCGAACTGCTTCCCCTACACTTATCTCAACTAAACTTCCATTTTCAAGATAGGTAAATTTTTTGTATAAATACTCCATTCCAAATACACAGACTTGCGTCTCGTCCATTAACATATCTAGAATCTCCTTATTAATATCCATTGAAATGTCTCTTCTGTTTGCAAATGTCTATTTCCAGCTCTAAACCTGTTTTAAGCACATTTCTGTAATCGTATTTAGGATCATTTAAAGTCTTTCTTTGTAAAATACTGTTGAAATATGTTTTCTTTTTTCTGCCCATTATATGCTGCTTTTTTAAAACAGAATGGAATCTCCGATTACAAGTTCTCCCACTTACTTCTCTCTGTAATGACGATCAAAGTATTTATTCTTTGTAACGTACAACTCATTCACCATCTTTGGGCAAGAAACAATTATTGCTCCACAAGGGGATCTGAAATCTAAGAAAATCTTTGGTAGTTTTGGTCCGAAATGCTCATGCCAGTACTCAATATGAGGAAATCTGCTATATTAGTCAAGTTTCATGCAGGATTTCATGAATAGGAACTGTGTTCCAATGACTGGTCGAGGAAATGCTATCGACTAAACTCCTTACCTCTTATAGTACCAGTAGTGGTAGTACATCTTAAAAACGTAATGATACAAAAAGTACCCGAGGAGTAAAATAAAGGCAATGATTACTATGCTCATCGATGGATTATCTGACTTTATTATTAATTTTTATTATAAATATTCCCAAACTAATTACCCTAAATTTCCCTAAATCCTCATTTAAGGGGTTTTGGGGTTTTGGGG